TCCTCAATATCCTTATATTGGCAGGGAAGCTCTTAAAATAAATTTTAACCATATTCAGATGTAATTATGTAATTATGGCAAATCAGTAACCATGTAGATTCAGACTTGCTTTACACAGATGTCAGGGCTGGACTGGACAAGTCTTCCCTCCACACAGGATTAATAATAACCAAAGAGAAGTTATGATACAATATCTTCATTGCCTTTTCAGTGCTTTGAACACTTCAATTTTTTTTCTGGTTTAGACAGTAAGGCTGTTCTTTTGATTATAGTAGAAGAACGTAATTATCCTACAATTTACCTCAACAGTGAAAATGTGCAAAATGGCAGGCTGTGCACTGCATGGGACCTTACGAGGATATGCTTACTTTGCCTACACATTCACCACAGGCAAACTGCATCTACCCAACCAGTCAAGAATTTAGGAAGGAAGGTACCAACTTCTGGCAAATGACAATACCACCCACCCACATTAATAATACTTTAACAAGCCATCCCCTTGAGGCAGAAATGGGGGAAGGGGAGAATAAGGACAGCGATTTATTGAAGACGGATGCCAAGAAGTACAGCTATAAATTACTGTTTTAAGTGGGATATATTTATTTTATGCATCATATGTGTTTAAATGAATGTGTTCAAGGCAGGCTACCGAATAAATAGAAAATGGAATGAAAAAATAAATAAAATAAAAGACATGAAATAAAAAGATTTATATTGCATCTAAAAAATTTGGGTGGTTGTTGTTGTTTTAGAAATTCAGCATGCCTGTGTAAAATGTATCCTAAAGTAAACCTAGTGAACCTCTCTGAGAAGCGTGTTCCAGTCATCATAGAGTAGCCATTAGCCTTGCCTCAGAAAGAATCAAAGAAATTCAGCAGTTATGGAATTACCACATAACATTACATCCTGGGATTCATATTACAGGCTTAAAACCACTGAAAAAAATGGGTAGCTGCCTTCATAGGTATGGTTGTAAAAGATAGACATTACTCAAGCTGAATAAATAGCGATAAGGTTACTGCTTAAATTATCATGCCCTCTAACATTGTTATAAACATTTTATAGGTGGGTCTTTGTGTCAGTGTTGACACCTGGCAACAGCCTGGACAAATCCTTACAATTTTCCTGGCAAGATTTCAGAAGTGGTTTGCCATTGCCTTCTTCCTAGGGCTGAGAAAGAGTGACTGGCCCAAGATCACCCAGTTGGCTTTGTGCTTAAGGTGGGACTAGAACTCACAGACTCCTGGTTTTTAGCCCCAAGCCTTTAACCACTATACCAAACTAGCTCTCATTATAAACAATATTGCAGCCATTAATGGAAGAGAGGCGGGTGGCATATGAGGTTAATAAATTATTATTATTATTAGTAGTAGTAGTAGTAGTAGTATTACACTGAAGAGCAATCATGATTAAGTGATATTAACGAGCAGGTAGCCTATGCTTGTGGATGGTAGTTACATTTTGGGATGGATTTACAGTCCTAAAATACTGGAATCCTACAGTCTAGGAATCCTAATCGATCTTGCTTTCTCTCTCTGGGATCCAAATAGCTAGGAAGGTATGAAACACCTTCTAGTAACTGAGGTTGATATACCTGTAGTTGATGTACCCAGGTAGCAACAATCCCACGTACTTTGGCAATATTGTTTCTGGATTACTGATGTAAATTTTATGAGGGTACTCTTTGAAATAAATTTAGGAATAGTTTGGAACAAAATATGGCAGCTTCACCAAGTACCAATCATGATATTGTTTTTAGCCTTTAACAGACCAACCCTATTGTTAAATGAACCTCACTAGCTGTGTTTACATGATACAGCGAATGCAGTGATCCCATCTCAGTCTGGTAGCACATAATTCAGGATGACTGGGTTGGTTGGCTGATGGCCATTTTGTTAATCTACCCAACCACCAAAAAAGAGGCTGGGGGCTATCACTTCCCTCATCAATTCTTTTAAAAAAATATTATTATTTTGTTTTCCAGAGGCAATTTCTTTGAAAAAAAAATAGCAGAGATACCATCATAGGTAGAATCAAAGAGTCTTTACCTACTTGCCTTATTTTTACCCTATCCATGTGGTCACAGGATTAGTTGTCCCTGTTGCTGATCCCTATGCTGGTTTTCCTCCCTCTGTCCTAACACATTATAGACATAGATATATTGACTTCCCTCCAAGATATGGAAGTCAAAGATTTTATATACCTTAAGGCTGCCCTTGGACATAGTTGGAATAAAGAGAAACATACTACTTTAAATTCAGTGCAGTTAAGGATGACTTCAGCCTGTCTCATTCATGGACATAAAAATAATATCATGGGGATATGGCAGAAAAAAATAAGTTGCCAGGACATGTTTATACTGATGCAAGTGGGGAACGATCCAAAGCCTTTTTCTTGAGAAAGTTAAGGACAGTTAACCCACTGGTAAGCTGTTCACACAATATGGCTGACTGAGGAAGATGACCCAAAGATAACCAGGACTAAATCTAATCCCAACTGAGTTAATTGATCTAGCAATTAACCCATTTTTCCTATTTGTACAACATGTTAACCACCATCTATGGCCCAGAAATGTATCATATAAACAGGATCCCTGAATTCAGTGAGAATAACACCAAAATTACTGTATTCAAGATTGCAGATTGTATGACTGATTTTGGGGATGTGATGGCCACAAATTTAAACTTCCACTATTGTGCTTGTGGAATTGTACACTACTTATATGCCTTAGATTTAAAAGGGAAAATCAGTCACTTGAGATAAACTCACTAAAAGCAATGATATGTAAAATGCTTAGGAAATCCTGACATAGCTACCAACATTTCTGAGATGATTAACTGATTCCAACCACATATACACTTATTCCTTTTACTACCCTTAGCGTACGAGCTGCTAACGGGATTAGAGGCCATGATCCTTGTACAGTAATATCCTGTCATGATGGTTCTCTTTTTGTATTCTTGTCCTTTTCCGTTGTCAAGTACAGTGTTTAAGTATGGCTGGAGCAATAATAAGCCCAGATTAATATTTCTTTAATACGCTTGTAGAGATCTATGCCTAGTAAAGTATCAGTGTTTAGATCAGTGTTTCTCAACCTTGGCAACTTTTAAGATGTGTAGACTTCAACGCTCATAATTCCCCGGCCAGTACCATTGAGA